CATCAACCAAAACACAATGTCTATATGACTCAACAAAGCTACATAATTACCACTCAATACTCCAAAAACCACCAGAATTAAGCATAATTTGACAACAACCTGAAAATGAAAGTTCTTTGTGCAGTCAAATTTCCACTCCATCAAATCACACACAAAAACCATTTGACTCATCACTTAACAAAACCCCAAGTACCCACAACCCCAAACCACAAAAAATACCCGTACAAGTATTAAGAAACTGAACATTTCAACAGAAACCACTTACCTTGAAAACGGTTAGCTCCTTTTAACAAAAAGGCATGCACCCGGGGACAAAAAAACAGAAAAAAAAAGGAGTAAAATGAACACAAAGATTGAAACTTTAAAACCCAGAAGAGATAAATACAAGAAATGATCTAGGGCTTGTGGAGAGATTGAGAAAGAAAAGGAGAAAAAAAAAAAAGAAAGAGAGAAATGGATCTAGGGCATAGAAGGATGTAGATTCAGAGAGACACGTATTGTTTTGCCAGTTGAAGGATGGAGTTTATTTACAGAAGATGAAAAATTACAAATTTTTTAATAAAAAAGAAGAAGATGAAGAAAAAAAGCAATTAAATTTGCTCAGAAAATTATTGATTCTCAGTTAATATTAATTTAATTATTATCATTAATAATAAATTAAATATTTTTTTCTGAAGAAACTAATTATATATATATATATATATCTCTGTCGCCGTCTGCTACTGTGTAAAATACACTGCAGCTTTTTTAGAGAGAGAGAGAGAGAGAGAAGTGAGTGTTAAAATAATAATAATAAATAAATACATTCTTGACGTGCGTTGATATGATAACTCCAGGCGCTCTCAATAAGGAGAGTCGTTAAAAAAGTATTTTAAAAAAAAAAAATTAGTTTTCGTTAATTTTTAATTAATTAAATAATATTATTATAATCTATTTTAAAATTGACCACTAATTATATTTAATTTCAACTTGTTGGAATTAATTGGGATAAAATATTTGGTTAATTCGATTTTTTAATTTAAAATTTTTGGAAATTAAAAAACTATAAAGTCAATAACAAATATATTTCGTATGCATAAATAAATATATACTATATAGTTGCTTAATCTATGTGTGTATGTCAATATAATAAAATGATATTTCATATGATTATTAAATATATGTAATATTAAGAAATTTTTAAAAATTATCTTTTATTTTTTAATTAATTTCGACAATTTATTTTTAATTTTGTAATTAATTAATGTAAAAAATGAAGTATTATAATTTATTATAAATTAAAATAATTTAATTATAGTACTTTTGAATTATTATATTATATCTACTTCGTAATAATTATATATTTATTAATTTATAATATAATATTATTTTTAATTAAATATATTGATTAGTCTGTCAGATAACCGGGTAACCACTCTACTTATGATCAAACCCAACTAAAAATAATCCTCTACGGCATCAATTGTTTAGAATCGTCTTCGTTATTAATCACGCTCTGATCACACGATCACGATTCATCTACCAGACTTAATATTCTATATCTTTATAATCTAATAACACGTATGAGTTTATAGAACATATCATGTAAATAATAATATTATATATAAATATGTATTATTTATAAAATAAAGTTAAAAATAAATAATTTTTTAGTAATATAGCAATTATCTCTCATAATCTATTTTGACAAAATAAAGTGAGAACAAATCAACAGTTGTATATATATATATATATATATAAATATAGTATATAGTATAAACAATAAAACTTATAAACATAATTTTTAATATACTAACTATTAGGTGAGGGGATTAGTATCTAATTCTCTTGTGTACTGAATCTTAAGGCCCCACTAAAATAAATTCTGAATCAAATTTTCTAATTCAACCTTTTTGATCATGCGGTTAATATTAGGCAATCATATATTAATAGATAGTTGATGTTTGACATCAAACGGTCAATTTTACTGCGGGACCCATGTAAGGAAATTAACAATATATTATATATACATGTCATCTTAGGTTATATTTCTCATAATCTAGGTCACCTTGTGGTGATAAATTCACTATATATATATATATATATAAGATTTTTTAGACTTATCACATGTGGGTAAGTTCTTATTTTTATTCTCGAACTCTTAGATTTTATCTTATTTTGATTCGCGTTAGATATGTACAAATTCTAACTAAAATTGTTTTACTCGATCGTTATTAATATAAATTAAATCGAGTGGTATTACAAGATTAACTCGTGTAATTTTTTTTATTTTTATGATATATCTTATTATAAACTAAAATAAATATGTTATTATATTAGACTTGTAACGATTTATTTTACAGATTAAAAAATATAAAATTTTTTATTACGAATTTAGTCAAAATTATTTTATTAAAAAAAAAAGAAGTCAACACTCATAATTTGGTACTACATTATTATGTACATAACAATTAATTTTCTAATAGAAGAAATTGATATCTAAGAAAAATCTTAAAGACAAAAAAAAGTAAAAGAAAACAAAGAAAGGATGAGAAGAAAAGCCAAAAAAGGAACCAACCATGTGGATCCAAGCTTATGCACTGTGCCATAAAATGTCAAAACTTTGTATAAAATTAGTAATATATAAAATACCCAATTTGAAAACACACTCACAAATATATATATATATATGTATATATAGTATATGA